ATATTTCATAAAGTCTCTGTGTTGCAAGAGCCCACCTTATGGTTGTAATGGAGCTTTCCTTCACAGAAAGGGTTGGCAAGAGGGGATTCCAGAGGATGGCCTTCCAGTTTTTCTCATTGGCACAGATCTATTGGCTGTGTTTTTAAAACATTTCCTGGTCTGTTTCAGCTTTCCTCTTAAGGCTGTGTGCAGAGATGTAATGAGATACTTATGTACACCATTTAATTTTTATTAAGTAATGTAACTAATTTTTCTTCCTTTCTCTCTCCCTTCCTTTCTTTCTTTCCTCCTCCTCCTCCTCCTCCTCCTCCTCCTCCTCCTTCTTCTTCTTCTTTTTTTTTTTTTTGGAGAAAGTACATAGAACAACTTGGATACATCTTCTTTACACCATAAGGAAATGAATGTGAGATCAGCATGAATTTAGCTTTGAAAGGTCACTAAATTTATACCTGGTACCAAGAATTGATTCTTCTGGAAGCATCACATATAGGAATCCCATTCTTTTTTCTAACCATTTAGCAGGAACAGAGCACCATGCTTGTATTTTGGGTGGAAGGTTAGTGAAGTAGTATTTATAACAACTTTCAGATTTGTGTTTATTTTTTCCCCAGGTGCTGGGAAGTTACACACATAAAGAAAGGCAGTGAGAAACTGAAATAGAAAGGACTAGCCTCTCTTTCATAGACCAGGGCATAATGATTTCTATTCACAAGGCAAGTTGGACCCACCACACTTATGCAGTAGGGATTCCATCTGGAAATAAAGGTCAGCATTTTTACCAGTGATTGAACACAACTTCAGCTTTCCTGGGCTTGGTGCTGGGGAAGTGGTCTCAATGCACAGAGCAGTAGTGTTGGTAAATGCAAATGACCAGTGTGGTAAAGAACCTTCTGTTTTTTGGTTTTCCTTGGCTTAGACTATAAACCTCTTGAAGTTTAACAGTGTGGCTCATGGCTCACAGTGTGTCCTAGTAAATGGGAGACAATGACTTTGTCTGGTGGCTGACAGCATATTGAGACTGGGGACCTGGAGCCTGGAGGGTCTGGCGATCAGGTGCAAGCTGAAGGGGTTCGGGATGGACCAAGAAAAAGTGCACCATTAAGAAACCTCACTGTTGGGGAACTCTTTAAGGTCAGGGAACAAGAACAAAGCAGCCCAATTATCATTAGCCGCCTTTCTTGTTAGGATTGATGGGTGACCAAAGGTTTCTTTCTGTGTGTATTAATTCTCTGTACCCATTTTTACCCTCAATCTCCTGATATTAAAAAAAAAAAACTATTGATGAAAGGATATGTACCTTAAAGATTTAAAGAATAGCTGGCTGATTCTTTTTCATATATAAAAGTTTAGATTTGTGATTGCTTTAAGATTCCTTATAAGATTACCTTTCAAGAGAAGTAATAAAATGATTGATCCCTTCTTTAAAACCATAAAATGCAGCCTGCCAGTAAAAGATTATTTTGCTTGCTTACACACTGTAAATCATAACAAGTTGCTGGAGTATGAATGTATGTGGGTTCTTGGGATAATTTGTTTTTCACCTGTAATACGTAAACTGTTTAATTGTGTAAGGGTTATGGAAAGCATGCTATTTTTACTTGTATTCATTGTAATCATACAGTAAAGCAGACTGTAACCACATTGCAATTTTTGTATTACCTGAAAGATACTGCTACTGGTGATGCAGGGACTATTACAGGAGCATGACAATTTGGTAGTGGTCTTCAAAATCAGTCACTCCAGGAGGACAGAAGGTGGGAAAATGACTGGGGACAGGAGAGGACCCCCTAAAGGGCCATGAGGAGGACTTATTTATTGTAAGAGAACTATAGATTACCAGGCCCCAGTGGCATAGGCCTGTAATTCTAATAACTCTAGAGGTTGTGGCTGGAGGATTCCCATTGTAAATCCGTTTTAACCATTGAGTGGTATTCTGTCTCAAAATAATTTAGAAAAGTGGGAGGCTGGGCATGCAGCTTTGTGGTAGAGCATTTGCCAGTTATGTGTGAGGCCCTGTGTTTGATTCCTAACACGTGGTGGTGTGGTGTTCTCTGCTATTGAGAGAAAGGGAGTAAAGGCAGAATCTCAGTCTATCTGATTGAGATCCTGTAAGAGTCCCTGTTAAATCAGATAACAGCTATTTAGGATTATTTTATATCTTCTAACTCCAAATAGCTGTGCAAATGCTGTAAATACATACAAAGATGCTCAAGTTCATTAGCCACCAGGGAGATGCAAATCAAAACCACAATGAGGTACCACTGGGAGAACTGCAATAAAAAAAAGTCAGGCAATCACAAGGATGTGGAGAAAAGAAACCCCAGACCTTGCTGGCGGAAATGTCAAATGGTGTAACTACTTTAGCAAAGAGTGTGAGAGTTCTCTAAGGGTGAAGCATAGATTTAATGTAACCCAACAATTCTACTCTAAGGTAAATAGTCAAGAGAAATGACAACATGTATCTGCATAAAGCTGGGAATGGCCATAGAAATGCTTGTAGCAGTCAAGGGGGAGAAGTGGGCTGGATCGAAGGCTCTGTGTTTAAGAGCAAATACTATTCTTGCAGAGGACTCAAGTTTGGTGCTCAACACCCATGTTGGTGGCTCACAACCACTTGTAAATCCAGCTCTAAGCTACTCTGATGCCACTGGCCTCCTTTGTCATTTGCATTCATGCGCATCCCCTCCCCTAGTTTAAAAAACAACAAAAAATACTTAGGAAAAGTAGAAACAATATGGATGCCATTCAATTGCTAATAGATAAAGAAAATGTAGAAGTGGAGTATTTTTTCTCCCATGGAACCCATACTAAGTTAAACACTGATACATACACTAAGCCACAGATAAACAGATAAACTTTGAGAATACGAAGTGAAAGCACAAGTAATGAGAGGCCATGTGTGATTTGATTTCATTCATAAAAATGCTTTTAATAGGCCCATATATATAAGATAGGAAGTAGATTAGCGATTGCCCAGAGATATGGAGTAGAAAGAGTAGAAATCAGGAGTAAATGTGATTAGCAAATAGTTTCGGGATGTTTAAAACATTCTTATGGTGATCATCAAACAACTTCATGACTATATTGAAAGCTAGTGAATTTTATCCTTTATAAATAGGTGAACTGTATAGGTGTCAGTTCTATGTCAATAAAGTGATTGTACTGATTTACAATAATTATTTATTTTTGTTATTGTTGTTATGGGGGTCTTTTTTTTTTCAGAGTCTTACTCTATAACCCTAATTGGTCTGAAACCATAATGCATCCCTGACTGTCCTTGAACTCAGAGAAATCCTCCTGCCTCAGCCTCCCAAGTGCTAGGGTTAAAAGTATATGCCACCATCCCTGGCTTGTGTTTGTATATTTTTAAAAAAGGCACTGGCTTAGGCTCTGTCTTTGTGAAAACATCTTGTTGGACAGATAATATTTATTAAATAATTACATCAAAGGATCTACAAGTTACAAATTATAGCCATTTTTATGAAGGGAAGGAATGGGCATGATACCCGATAATGATAGGTGTGAGTAGGGGATGGAGATGAGATATTAGTGAAACAGTCACATTCGAGGACTCTAACAGAGACCCCTAAATAGCAGTGCTTGAAAGTGGCAGGGGGGTCCTGTTCTTGCTGATGTGCTACTGTGAGTAGTCTCCAGTTCTTGAAGAAGTGGTACAATTTCAGAGCTCTTTTAGTACAGTGCCCTGCCCACCCTGGGTGGGGTGTGGCCCTCATCTGCATGGCATGGATGCAGTTAGTTGCACTGTGCCCTCTGAGAGCAGGGAGGATAGACAGCAATTCATCACCTCTGTTTCTATGTAGAGGTGGGCCCCTTGAGGCTAGGAAATGGAGTCTTTGTGACCCTGAGGGTTCTATGAACACAGAATGGACATGGGGGTGATCATTCAGTCATCTCTGGCATCAGAAGTCATGCTGAGGAGCTGATAAGGAAGGTGAAAGTGTCAGGAGGAATGGATATCAAGAACAGCTTTCCAAGCCAGGGGCACATGTGTGAGGGCATAATAGGGACAGGAAAAAGCCATCTGTCATGTTACTGATTGCTTTTGAGACGGTCTTGCTATGTGCTTCAGGCTGGCCTTGGACACACAGTCCAGAAGTGCTGTAATTACAGCTTCAAACTGACAATCTTCCTGCCTCAGCCTCTGAAGTGTTGGGATTACATGGCCTGTACCACATGCTCAGCATATTTAATGATTACTTATGAACTTGCCTGTCTTGTGTCCCAGACTCTTATGAGTCACAAATTTCCAACCTGTGGAGGCAGTGGCTCTGGATTCATCAGGCATTTTTCTCTTATGTCTTTACAGGGCTGGCAGGACCTGACCTGCGAGGAAGGACTGTATGCTTCCTCTGGAGAGTCTGTTTATCCTCAGCTCTGAGAACTGAATTCCATGGGTTGTGTCAATGTCAGACCTGTGAAGTTCAGTTCTTCAGCTGGGATAGCTCTGTCTTCATGGACCCGAGGAACACTGGCTGGAACAAATTCTGAAGGCCCTCTTTAGTCTGCCAAGGAATTTGAAGAGTGGAGAGAGTGGAGTGAAGGGTGGAACTTCAGGCCCAGTGAGGACCCATGCATTGGGTTGATGGGTGTTCTAGTCTCATTTATGTGGCTCTGATAAAATACCCCAACAAAAATAAATTTAGGAGATAAAGGGTTTATTTGGATTATAATTCTGGGTTCATCATTGTGGGGATGACAAGGCAGGATTCTGAAGCAGGTAGTCAGTCACCTCCACATTCAAGAAGAAAAACAGAGTTAGGCCTGGTGGTGCACACCTTTACTCCCAGAATGTGGGAAGCAGAGGTAGGTGGATCTTCCGAGTTCTAGGCCAGCCTGGTCTATAGAGCAAGTTCCAGGCCAGTCAGAGCTATATTATATAGTGGGATCCTGTCTCAACAAATGAAAAAAAATGCTCATATATGCTTGCTTGTGCTCAACTTCTCTCTACACTTAAATAGTCTAGGATCACCTGGCTAGGGAATGGTGCTGCCTACAGTGGGCTGGATCTTCCTATGTCAGTTGATATAGTCAATATATTCCCCCATAGTTAAACACAGGTCAACATGATCTAGATGATCCCTCACTTAAACTCTTTCTAGATGATTCTAGATTGTGTTAAGTTGACAGTGCTTACCAATATAATGTAGAAAACCCTCCCATGTTTGGGAAAAGCCTGGCATCCTATGAACAGCCTCAGTGAGTGACTCTTGCTGCTGTGACTCTTGTTTACATTTACTGATGATTTAGTCAGGTATGAAGGGGACTAAGTGCTGTGCATGCTGTTATAGGAGACTCTTGGGAAGCACCACTTTAATGAAGCTTGAGACACAGCATTGCCAAGCAGTGATTTCCCGGTCTCTTTATGGGACCAGATGGAATTAATTGTATGTGACAATAATCCTTTGGCATTGGACTGCTTGAGGTATCTGGCTGCTTTTTTCAGATATGGAACAAAAAAGATGAACACATCCTTCTTATGGCCCCCTCATCCATTTATCTGAACCCATGCTTTCCTGCCCACTTCATTCTTTTGCATTCCAAACAAGGCAAAAGAGGTCGAAATTAGAATTCACTGCAAGTAAGGATAAGAATTAGGACAGTTCTGAAAGTGTGTTTGGGGACACAGATGAATGTTGGGGCTCAGAGACCTGTCATGTTGAATCTCTTCTGAGACTTGGGTTTAGTTTGGTGATTTCCATTGTTTGGAAGGGCATTTGAGTGCTTTGGATGTAGTGTCTGGATTTCATTAGGCTTTTGACTTGGTGGGAAATTGGGAATGGAACTCGTCTTTTGGGAACTCACCTTTGACTCATCACTATGTCTTGGTGCCCTGGGATTTTCTTCTCATTATTGTCTCTGAATGAAAAGAGAGGGGGCAGCATGAGGTGGGAGACCCTATAGCATGCACATTTTCAGTTTTTCTTCCCAGGGTCACTGGTGTTTATTGAGCATGTACCATGTACCAGGTCCTAAGCTCAGGGTTTTGCCTGTATGATCTCAGTGAATCTTACCAAGTCTCATTCCCGTAATGTGGATAGATCAACAAAAGGATGCATTAATCATCTTTTTTGTTGTATTGATGAAATAGACTGGCAAAAACAACTTCAAGAAGAAGTTTTTGGAACTTCAGGAAGAAAATATTTGGCTCACAGTTCAAGGGTATAGTCCATCTTGGTGGAGAAGTCACAGAGGAAGAAACTTGAGAGCTGCTGGTCACATGGCATCTGGAGACAAGAAGTGGCGAGCAATGGTTGCTCACAGCTCATTTTCTTCTTTTTATACAGTCCAGGATACCACCCAGGAAAGGGTGCCACCTTTCTTTAGGATAGGTTTTCTCATCTCAATTAACTTTATTGAGATAGTCCCTCACAGGCGAACTTAGTCTAATAATCCCTCATAGTTATAACTGGAGATATGTCTTCTAGATCATTCCAGGTCTTGTCAAGTTGTCACCAAAAACTACGGGTGTCAAATTAAGAAAAAAACTGAAGCAGACTCCATGGGAACCTCCCAGTTACATTATCCAGGAAAGCAAGTTGTTCCAGTCATTATCAGAAAGCTTCATCCGTCAGCAGATGGGATCAAATACATATATCCACAGTCAAACAACATACAGAGAGTGAGAGCCCCTAGAACACTCAGCCCTAAAAGGGATGTCTCCATCAAATTCTTCCCCCATGGGCTCAGGGAACTCTGCAGAAAAGGAGGATAAAAGAATGTAGGAGCCAGAAGGGATGGAGGGCACCAAGGAATGGAGGACATCAAGGTCTTCTAAACACAACAGGGCTGACATTATGAATTCACAAAGGGTATAGCAGCATGCCTGGGTCTGTACCAGATGGGGTCCTAGAGCTAAAAGAAGTATACACAGGCTCCAATGCCTAACCCAGAGCTAGCTCTAATAATAGCTACTCACAAATGAAAAATTAGTTTTCTCTATTGGAGTTTCACTGGGGAATCAAACTACTATTAAGCTCCATGCCAAGTAGTAAATAGGCAACACAAAATGGATTCCACAGCATCTTTGGAGGTTCTTTGTCTCATGCTAAGTCAGGGATGCTTCCTCCTCTCCATTTTCCCCCTGCCTTATAAGTTTTTTTTTATCTACATATTAAAGCTTCCTGTTTTGTGGTTTTCTGGGATCCATCCCCGTGTGTGCCAATGTAGGTCTCTGCATCTGCTGTTCTTGTGTTTTTTTCTTTGGCTCTTTTTCAACAGTTTGGTTGTTCTGTCCTATTCTAGTTTGTTTTTAATTTGTCTTATTTTAATTATTCTTAGGATGCCTGTTTGTTTTCTAAGGAAAGACAGGGTGTGGCAAAGGATGGGGGGAGAGGTGGGGGAAGAACTGAGAGGGGCAGAGGGAGGGGAAACTATAGCCAGAATATATTGTATAAAAATCCATTTTTAATAAAAGAGAAAAGTGGAACTATGTTCTACAAATGGAAAAGGGTGCCTGGTGATCATTCCTGGGCTCTGTGGATCAAATCAAGACCTCTTAACCCTCCTTCCTCACTTCCATCCTGTGCTTATGAGACCTCTAGCCTAGACTCATGCTAGAACCAGAACACTGGCAAATCTCAACTGAGACCAGAGGTCAGCGTTGGAAATCCCAGAGTGACAGGGAAGATTATTAGGGCTCTGGGTCTAGTGCTTCTGCATGGCAGGTGCTCATTGAGACCCAGAGGTCTGCTTTTCTAACAAAGGATCACCCTATCACAGTTGTATCTTCCTGAAGTTGAGTTGGTACATGATACACAAACCTTTCGATGACAATTGACTAAGTAAAAGGATGCTTCAGGCTCAGGGGTGTGGCTTAGCAGCTGCCTATAAGCAAGGTTCTAGGTTCTATTGCCATTTCTTCAAAAAGATAAAATGATTTGTTTCAGAATAGCTCTGTGTTAGGATTTCAGTGAGCAATCTACTGGCTAACGGTTTTTGAGGTTGTATTTGCTTTATTGAAAGTTATTGCAGGGGTTGGAGAAATAGCTCAGTGGTTAAGAGTGATTCCTGCTCTTGCAGAGGACCAGAGTTCAGTTCCCAGTTCCCACCTCAGAGGGCTCACAGCTGCTTGAGATTGTAGCTCTGAGGGATCCAATGTCCTCGTTTGGACTCTGTGGTCCTCTGCACTCACATGCACACACCTATACACACAACAAAAACTTCATTGTTAATTGGAAAAATCAGGTTATACCATGTGAAGTTATACATTATAAGATACTATAAATTGTAGGACTAAGTATATTGAAAAATGATTATCAACTTATTAACAGGGACTTTTACTCTAGGCTAAGATTTGAGATGCATCTTCCTTTCTTTGTAATCTTTATTGTTTGACCCTTCCTCTAAGCATGTGTAATTAAAATAAATTATTGCAGAAGACGTAATGCACAGTCGTACTCCTTCCAGACACTGGAGGTCTCCCTGTGTGTTGCTTGATGAAAGAGAAATTAACAGGCAATATGTAGTATGTTTTTTCATGTTTATGTGCACATGGTATGTATTTGTGTGTGTGTGATGCATGCATGCGTGTGCATGCACACAGTTGAAGGCCTGAAGTTGATGCTGGGAATTAAAGTGGACCGCAAGGAGTCAGAACTAGTTTGAAAACAGATGGTTTATTAGGAAGTACTTATGCAACGGAGCCAGTCCTGTTCAGCCAGGTGGGAGAGGGAAAAGATAGCCGCATGCCTGTGTCCCTGATATTAAAAGCCTTGCTACATCACGCAGACCACCCCCAAGCTTGGTCAGCATCACCTGTGCCAGCCCCAAGTGGGCATGGTCAGCATTTCCCCCTACAGTGAATCCCTCCCTCACCATTCTCCACTTTGTTTAGTGAGACAAGATCTCCTGTGAACCCACAGATTGTCAGTTGTGCCTAGTTAGCCAGCTTGCCCCAGGGATCCTGTTTCTGCTTCCCAGTTTTAGGGATTACAGGGAGTGGCTATACCTGTCCAGTTTTTTAAATGTGGGGTCTGGGGACCTGAACATTGGCTTCACACTTTCTGGCAAGTGCTTTATCTACTGAGCCATCTCCTCAGTACTGTGGTGTGATTTTATTTTTTTTCTCCTAGTGGTTATAAAGAGAGGCTGGAGAGATGGCTCAGTAGGTAAGATCATTTACTGCTCTTACATGGGACTTGGGTTCAGTTCTCACGCCATATGGCAGCTCACTGCTGCCTGAAACTTAGCCTCAGGGATCTGATGCCTTCTTCGAGGCTTCTTTGGGAACCTGTACTTGTGTATAGCCTGCCATGACACACACACATACAAAATAAAAATAAATCATTAAAAAAGAGGTTGTGAAAAAAGGTCGTGTGAAGTATATATTTGTGTGTGTCTGGTGTAAGGTAACATAATTTTTCTTTGCTTTATGAGTTTTGCCTAACAAAAAAAGAACATTGCATGGGTGTGCTGCTGTTTATGTGTACAGGTGATTTTAAAACATT